TGCATGAAGGTCCAAAATTATGATTTTTCTATGTTTTTGGTCCCCTAGTAAACTTGAAATGAGATTTTTGACCTTTTAATTTCCTTTCTGCTTTTTTGTTTTTATTTTAATGCTTTGTTAATTTAAAAATAAAAGAAAAAAGAAAAAAGGGCCCACCTACCGCAATGGTCTCTCTCTCTCCCTCTCTCTCTCTCTCTCCCAAAAACGGAGGGAACACAAAATGATTAGTTTTCAATCTCCCCAATGATTCGGTAAGCTTTAGCGATCCCTTTTTCTTTATTCCAAGTGTGAAAGTGAGTTCGATACATAGAAAAATGAAGTCCATGATCAAGAACAACAACAACAATGAAAGCACTGACGGCAACAAAAACAGTAATAACTGGTTGGGTTTCTCTCTTTCACCTCATATGAACACAATCACTACAACATCCAAGGGCGGAGCCACCCTAGGACCAGGGTAGGCCCAGGCCCCCCCCCCTCAATTTTTTTTGTAAGTTATTTCAGAAATTATGTTTATTTCAGTTGGCAAGCTGCCTTACCTCTTTCCCAAACCACTGCAAATTTCATTCCATCACGTTTTTTTTAAGGAATTCATTTCAGTTGGCCCCCTCATATTTAGAAGTTAAATTCTTTTAGTAATTTAGTTTTCAAAGTTTGCATATTTTACACCATAAATTTTATAAATTTGCACAATTCAATTTTTAGCTAATTTAATTTAGTTTTTAGGTGTTCTTTTTCAATTTATTTTTCTTGTATATAAAAAAAATTATATTTAGGGGCCAATTTTCACCTTTTACATAGGGTCTTCAAAATACCATATATATGATATAATATATATATATATATATATATATATTATATATATATATAGATATATATATATTATTTTAGAAGGAACACCCTAAAAAAAAATTTTTATGCCCCTCTGGCTTTACTCTGTATTCCCGATTATGCCCCTCAAGTCCGATGGTTCCCAAAAGTTTTATCATTCTCTCTCGCTCTCATAATAAACACTACTTAAGAAAAAAACCACCTTCCCTCATCCCATGTTTTTATTCATCACCTCACCTGAAAATGTTCTTTCTTGCCCCCCTTTTTTCTCTTTTTTTTGGAGTTCGTCTTTTAGGAGTTCAATTTTCTTCATTGGAATGGACCTTATACACCTCTTTCTATTTCGCCTCTCTTTCTGTGAACCACTATTGTTGCTCTGTAACTCAATTCCAGATTTTATCTTCTTCCATAGAGCCCCGACAATCAGAAATCAGTTCAAACCACGGTGATGGTGGAAGGGTCTATGTCAAACGACGGTAAGATGGACATCAACTTCTATATCAAGGATATACCCCATAGTTAAGCGTCGCCAGAAGCCACTTGGGTTCGTCCGATGAGTAAAAGTAAAAGTCAAGATCAGATTCGTATTACATTGAACTTTCAACCTAGAGTTAGCGTAGTGAGGGAGGTGGGTGAAGTGTAGCCAGAGGTGTACCACGATTTTGGACCATTTCCTTTTTGTTGTGAGCTGAGCTCCAGTGATTCTTGTAAATAGTTTGGATCATGGTTCACTACTAATGAGCAAATGTACAAGTAAGGATTCCATCTTTGGTTAATTTGAAAACTCAAGAGCCCCGCCATATATGTATGTGTGTATGAGAGGTTTAATTTGCAGATGATTGTGAGGAAGAAGATGGGTGTGTGTATGTGTCGGTGAGAGAGAGAGGGGGGGTACAGGTGTAGAGGGTTGGGTAAGGTAGGATTTTTTTTTTCTTAATGATCTAAATACCAAAATAAATAAAGAAAATGGAAAAATGAAATGAAAAAGGTAAAATTGACCTTTCAAGTGTAACATGACCAAAATAATGGAAAAAATTTAATTTTAAACCTTCTATGCAAGCTGGAAATTTTAATAAAGTACGGTTATAAGACTGTGTTATAGGGGGGAGGGGGGGGGGGGTCCTCTTTGAAGCCTAAATAGAGTTCGGTTACATAACCGTACTCTATATGTATGATATAATACAATTCCTTACATAAAACTGTATTTTATAACTAAAAAATTTATTAAAAAAATCATGGTTTTGTCTACTGTACATTGTTTTGGCCACCAAATTGTTGCTTATGAGACACCATTATTGTCTAAAATTGACAAAGTCTTCTATTGAGGCTAGCCATGGTGCGTTAGGAAGTACCGCAATCCAACATAATAGTAACATAAGTATCAAAAGATGCATTTTGTTGGTTTGGTTCTTTTTTTTTTTCCAAAAGGTAATATGATATGGAAAAATAATATGGAAGCCACAATGCAATGTCGCAACATATAGTAAAAAACAATAAATGCATAGTGAACTCTTTGTAGAAGAAAGGTTGGACTTTAGAGGTGGATAAAGAATATATAATAGGTTTAAGTTAATGCCTGACTTTGTGTACAAACTTGATAAGTCGTTAATGTCATTTAGGAATCAAAAAATAAGCATAAGCTACATAAGTGAAATGACAACTTGCATGCATGGTTCTTAAGAGTAAATTCTCATGCAATGCGAGCCAATAAATCTATTTGCAGCCTATAATTCCTATAGTAATTCTAAAGGGTTATTTCTTAGCACTAATTGGAAAGAATGTATAGTTTAATTGATAACCAAAAATGGATACAAATGAGCAATTTAACAAGAATTGATGCATAGAGATTATATATAGATAATATATAATATGAATATATATAGATATAGAATATTATATATATATATATATAATATATAGGTTTAGGTTCTATGGAAAATAAAAAACCCTAAAAAAAACCCTAAAAATCATAAAAATGCATAAAAAAAAATACTTAGAGATCACAAAATTTTTTTTTGAATTTTTTAATCAAAAAATCGCATCTTTTAACATAAAAATCGCTGAAAATATTTTTGAAAAAAAAAAATTTTACAAAAAAATAAAAAAAAAAAATTGATTTTTTATTTTTTTTTCAGTGAAATTGTCAAAAAAGGCTGCGATTTTTTGATAAAAAAATTAAAAAAAAGTTTTGTAATGTCTACGTATTTTTTTTTATGTATTTTATGATTTTTAGTGTTTTTTTAGGGTTTTTTTGTTTTCCAAATAACTCTTCCATATATATATATATATATATATATATATATAGATATTATATATATAATAATATAGAGAGAGAGGAGAGAGAGAGAGAGAGAGAGAGAGAGAAGAGGAGAGATAGAGAGAGAGAGAGAGAGCGCGAGAGAGCTCGAGAGAGAGAGAGAGAGAGAGAGCGAGCGAGCAGAGCGCGCGAGAGAGAGAGCGAGAGAGCAGCGAGCGAGAGGCGATCGCGAAGAGAGATAGATTTCTACTTCCTCCCCCACGTCCTCCTGACGTCCGCCTGTCTACCCATGTAACTTTGTAACATAGAGCACCACTGATCGGTCAAACAATAAACTTTTGTATAAATGATAAGGAACAAACAAGTGAAATTTGTTTATACATTGGCTTAACAGAATATATTTTGCAATCTAACTCTCAAATCAGGTCTTGAAATTCCAATGACTTGCCATAGATAACCGTGATAGGTTTTGATCGAATCAAGGTGTTACCCCATTCCATTGGCCCTCCATTAGAAACCACTATGTGGTTAAAACATGTCTTGGTTCGCCTTGCCTTATCGATTCTGGAAGACGGCTTAGGAAACCACTATATGCATCAATTCTTGTTAAATTGCTCATTTGTAGGGTTACATGGTGGGAATTAAGCTAGAATGGAGAGAAATGACGATGGCCTATCTCATCTCTTTTGACGTGGGGAGGAAGAGATCGAGAAATGAGGAGTTAATTTTAAAAGACGCCTAAATTTTAGAACAAATCGACCAAATTGAAACACCGCCCAAATTGATAAATATGTTACGGGTCTTTGAATTAAACCCTGTTCGATTATCTCCAAAACTATGCGCTCCCTTTATTTAAAGTTATTTAATACGGAAACCTTAAGAACGTATTTTATTTAGCGTTTTCTATTGGTCAATTTGTAGTAGTGTGTCTATGAAGTTGTTGATCAAGACAATGGTAATTGGGATGTCGCTCACCATCTTTTGAGAAACAATCTCATCGCTTTTTACTGTAGAGCACTCAATAAAAATATGTTCATCATTTTTACGCTTGATATTACATAAAGGGCATAAGGAAGAACCAACAATAAGACGAATCCATTCAACATTTCGCATATCCTTTTACATGTCAATACTATTTTCAGACAAAATAATTTACATAAAAGTAATCAGGTTCGCATGATTTTCATGACAGTTAATGTAAGATTAGTGTTTGAAATGACAATATTTTAGTAAGATATAGGAGCAACCTAGATGGTAGAAAGTACGTATCGGAGGATTATGTACAACATCAATGAACAAGTTTCGAGGGGACTATGATATGAGTTGATCCAACCAAAGTTAAGTTGTTTATCAATTATTTAATCCAAAAATAAAGATATCACCTAGGTATCATCAATAAACTTAGGATTTGGCTAACATATATAAGGTACATATCTCACATACATAAATAAGTATATATCCATAATAAACCCAATTCAAAAAAATAGTTTATCATAAACATGGAGCACTTGAGGTGATGCAAGATACATGTACGTAATTTATTTTACCCGTGAGCTCAATGTATAGAAAATGTATTCGAGCTAATGAAAACTAATTTGAAAATAGAACAACTTATAGAAAGCTTGATGTTTAAATACCAATATATATATATATATATATATATATATATATATATATATATATATATATATATATATATATATATATTTCATTCATTTGTATAAATTTCTGTTGTTTATCCAGTGGTTACATCATTGTTTCTTAATACAAAATATTAAATAAAAATGAAACAAATTATCAAGTCAAATACCATTTTATTGTATATTGTGGAGTATAGAGTAATACAAAGTTAAAAAGAGAGTAGAGTATTCATTATTGAATTAAAGTGGCAGTCATGTATAGAAAAGACCAATGGTAGATGGGGGTTGCCCAAAGATAGATCACCCCAGGGTTTCCATTTTCTTCTCACATTTCTCTTTTGAGAACTCAGTTTCTCTCTCTCCTCCTGTTTTATCTATATACAAAACACAAGTTTCATGAATTAAAGGAACTTCTAAAAGTGGGTCTTCTCTTAACCAAGAGTAGAATTGTTTGCAGAAAGGAAAAAAACACACAAATAAAAAGGAAACAAACTACTAATAATCATGGGAAGAGGGAGAGTAGAACTGAAGAGAATAGAGAACAAAATTAACCGGCAGGTTACTTTTGCTAAGAGAAGAAATGGACTTCTCAAGAAAGCCTATGAACTCTCAGTTCTCTGTGATGCTGAGGTTGCTCTCATCATCTTCTCTAATCGTGGAAAGCTTTATGAATTCTGTAGCAGTTCTAGGTATACTTTTTTTTTTCTCTATCTTTCATGGTAGATTCTTTGGCTGTTTTTTTGTTTGTAGTGGTATGTTTTCTTATCTTCTATAGTACTTTACACACAAAAACTATGAAATCTTTTCATTAGTAGTAGATTTACATACGATCTATCTTTTTCTTTCTTTGAAATCTTGGAAAAAAGCATGTACAGATTTTTTGATCTTTTATCGACTGTACAAACTTGGAAATTCAAAGAGATTCATCCTGGTCAACTAAAATGAAGGGTTTCGTAAAGATCTGTTCTTTTTCTTGTTTCATTGTAATTTATTATTTATTTTTAATTTAATTTTCCCATCATCAGGTTCAAATCTGATGTATCTTCAAAATAGATTTATTATCTAGTCTTTTACAAGCATAGTTTTAATTTTTCTTTGTTTTATGAAGGTTCATTATTTATTAGTTTTTTTGTGTCTTGAGGTCATGAGTTTTTGATTTCTTGAACTAATTTCAGGTTTTTTTTTTCTTGCGTTAATTTTCCTTCAAATTATAAAACAAATCATTATCTACAAAATACTGTTCAGATTTATTTTTCAACAGATTCATTAGATGTTATATCAGAGAAGAGATCTGGAAAAGCTGCAAAAGCGCAAATCATTTGAAACCCTATATACTAAATCTTCATATTTTATTTTATTTTATTTTTTTTGAACGGGCAAAAACAATATAATCTTAAACTATTCTTAAATCCACCTATGTCTCCCATGAGACTTGAACCTTCAACCTCAAGGTCTCCCATGAGACTTGAACCTTCAACCTCAAGGAGGGAGGACAAAACCTGATACCGCTGGGCTAGAAGCCCTTTGGTAAATCTTCATATCTAATATAGAATTTTGCAACCCTAGCTAGCTGGTAAAGAAGTTGATATTATTATTTTAATTTGTTTGTAGTTTATTAAAAAAAATACTATCTATTCCTTGTGATAATTTTTTAATTAATTGCTAATGAATTTATTATATACTTGAAAAAATGGATCGTTCCTCTTCATCATTTCTTACTTTGAACATCACAAAGTGATAAAATGATGTATATATACAAATTTTTAAGAATTATCATTAAACTTTTATTTAATCATTTGATCTTAACTGATCTTTCAAACACGATCTGGCTCTAGCTTTGAGTAATTAATTTACTCCAAGTATAAAATGAAACTTGAGCAAAATCCAAAGCAAGCTCGTCACTGTTTTGTTTTTAATTTTTAATTGCGTGGGGAACACATCCAAGACCCACTTCCAATCATCAAGTTTATCCTAAGTTCTAATAACACTGATCTAGCTCAAGAATTCAAGAAATATATTCTCTGGTACCTCACATGCCCTCAATTTCAGTGTAAATAAGTTTTTCACCAGGAAATATGTTTTCTTTTTAGTTTTTCCTATTAATTACTAGCTACAATTATCATTGTTTTGTATGCGACTAAGGTTTGCTTTTGAGTCGTCGATGTTAGATATTTAACATATTTTGAATCTTATGATGTTGATTGTGCATATGGGTTTTTTTTGTTCGCAAAATTTTGATGATATAGTATCTTGTTAGTGGTGTGCTACTTCTCCTGAAGTGGAAACACATGTTTAGGCATGTGTAGCAATGAATTAGGTCAATTTAGAGCATGAGTACTTCGGGTCTTTCCTTAATTAACTTCAGCTTAATTCAAAAGAGGGTTTTCTAAGTACCTATTATTTTTTTCCCAGTTGCTAATTTTTTGTTCTTGGATCTTCCATTTTCAGCATGGTGAAAACACTTGAGAAGTACCACAGCTGTAGTTACGGATCATTGAAAGCCAGCCAACCTGAAAATGAGAGCCAGGTTTGTTGCTATCGTATTTTAAAATCTGCAACCATTTTGAGTCTGTATGTACATTTAAAACTTGTACTTCCATCATACACAAAATAATCACACCTTGTTACATCAAAAGTCTCTCCCTTTTTGACACTATAACACCCACATGTGGGAGAAAAAGATCTGTAGAGCTATTGAGGCGTAAAGATGCACAATTAGCACCAAAATGAGTTATTGAGGCATATATAAATAGTTAAGGAATTTTAAAGAATCAATTTGATCCAATATGGGGTCATCACTTTTATTTTATGATTACTCTTTAGTAATTAACATTGAGCTAAATGGTTGAGCAGTATAACTACCATGAATATCTGAGGCTAAAGGCAAGAGTGGAAGTTCTGCAACGGTCACAAAGGTATGACACTGATTCCAGACGTTACCATGTAGAGTTCTAAGTACTTTATTCATCCAAAATATTCTGACTTCTCTAATCGTAAATTAAAATTGTTGTTGAAATATCCTCGATGCCCTAATTAATCTGGTAATCAATTAATCTTGTAGAAATCTTCTCGGAGAAGATTTGACCCCATTAAACACTAAGGAGCTGGAGCAACTTGAGCACCAACTGGAGATGTCTTTGAGGAAGATCAGATCAACAAAGGTACAAACTTGAGGCTATCCTACTCGTTCTTTTTTCATTAAAGTCATATATTGCTTACATACAAGAAAGAGATATTTCACTAATTATTAAGAAATGGGTGGACGTATACATATACCTTTCATATAAGCAAGCGTCGAAGATCATATTAGGTTCATAAGCTTATATATAGATGTTTTGTTCTTGAAATTTCAGACTCAATGCATGTTGGATCAGCTTGCTGAACTCCAAAGAAAGGTATGTATACATCCGATGTAAAAACATCAGTGCACTCTTGAATGTTTTAGGTTTTTACCCTTTAATTAATTAATGGCGGACTTAATCTACAGGAGCAAGTTCTTGCTGAAACAAATAAAGCCTTAAGGAAAAAGGTGTTACTCTCTCTCTTCCCTCAACACACTAATTAATATAATACTCCATTCACTACAATACAGATATCAAGCATATATCCTGAACATTGCATGAGTTTTTTTTATACATCCCTTGTAGTTAGCTTAAAGTGAAAGAAACAGATTACTGAAGAGATCTTTTGTGCAGTTGGAAGAAAATGCTCAGGAATTTCCAGTTAGGCAAATGTGGGAAGGTGGAGCACAAACCATTCCGTATAATCCCCTTCCTACACACTCTGACGATTTCTTCCAACCTCTTGGATTGAACTCCAGCATGCACACCAGGTGTTTTTACGGATTTCAAGCTTAAAACAGAAGGTTTTAAATTTAAAATAATAGCACTAGTTCGAACTAAAAGGGACTCCTTTTCCAAATGCTTTTTCAGTTTCAGTGGATTAAGATACAACCCTATTGGCTCCGATGAGATGAACGTTGCTGGTGTCAATGGAAACAATCCTAATGGGTTGTTTCCAGGATGGATGCTGTAGTAGAAGAAATTGCATCACCCTAAGTTTCCCACGGGTAAAAATAAGGTAATTTCTTCTTTTAGAACCAAACTTATATCATTTTATTTTTTTGAGTGTGTGTATTATGTGTGTTTATGCAAATTCGTAATTATTCTCCCAAGAGATTGAAGGCTTCATAAGTCGTTGAGAGGACGACGATGACCTTGATTTGAAGAACCCATGGATTCTTGGCATGTATGTACTTAATTTGTATAAGATTTTAAGCAATCTGGATTTGTTATTATTATTTTGGTTGAAGTACAACTTTTTTGATCTATGTTCAATTGAAGATAATCATCATGAATTTTTTTTGGTTAACTTCTTTATTTTGATCAAAAACATATTTGTAGGAATCCGTCTGTAAGGAGTTAGGTTAAAAAAATACATGGTTGATGGGAGAAATAACATATAAAGTAGTCATTCATTTATGTGTTTGATTTAATGGCATTGTTCTTTGTCAAGTAGCTGACACACGAACATATGTATGCTAGATTTTTTTTTCTTTCCTAGAAAAGGTAAAAGGTAAAAGAGATTGCACACCATTACCTGTAAGGTACTTTGGTGTTCTGGTCTGAATACAACTTAGCAAAATACTAACTAAATGGTATAAATATGGAAATCTGAAAACTTATACATTATATATAGAAGATAACAGTTATAACTTTTCACTGTTACTTTGACTTAGAATATTAATAACTCAAAATTGTCTCATTATTCTTTCATATTGTTTGAAACTATACGAAGTCCAATCATGCATTTAATTATCATATAGATAGAGCTAGAGCTTGTATGTTATGGAGATGAAAGAAATGCAACACGCTTACATTTTACAAGAGTATTGGGCTTTAGTGGCCACAACCATTATTAACGGCGACACCAAACATTCGCATTAGGTGTCGCCGGAAGTAATGGTTGTCGTCACTAAAGCTCATCGACACCAACCCGCATGCACTATTTATCATATTAGGATGTATGCATATAAATTAAAAAATCAAGTGTGTGTGTGTATGTTTGTTTTTGAAACTCTGTGGCTAAACCCTATCTGTCGATTTTGTGTCTAATTTAATTGTTGGAACCATGATTCGATCACACTAATAGTTGCCACAAAAGGTCAATATTCTTGTAGTGATGGTCAAAATGTTGAAGAAAGAGATAAGATTTCAAAAACAAACATACACACACACTTGATTTTTTAATGTATATGCATACATCCTAATATGATAAATAGTGCCCCTTTATGTACAAGAGACAAGTTTTAGGGTATACCCCAACGAAACAACGATTCAAGAACCAATACATTGGTTTACATCACATTTGATAGAATCTAATATAACTAACTTAACAATCTAGGTTAAATTTTAACACACCCTTTTAACCTAGATTGCTTCCATAATATTCATTACCTTGAAACATTCAAACTTCAAGCATCATCATTCTCTTTGACATTCCCATGACGAGTATCATTTATGGGCACACTCATCACTTTGCTTCTTTTTCACATGGTCAATTACATTCATCATCCGGGTACCATGCATTTGATGGGTTTTATAGGTAATAAATCTATGTATGAGGCGAAAAATTACTTAACTCTTACGTTCACATGCAACCTATTTGGATCTATGTTTTCTCTATTGATATCAATAAACTATGAACATCAAGAAACCTAATGGTAACCTATTATAATCAAAATGTACATAAGATTAGGGTTACATACCTCTTGATTAGTGTAGCAAATAATCACACTAATATCCTTCTTGAAAACCTTGGAAAACAAGCACCAAAAGTTTAGTGCCGCTAGTGGTTTGTTCCTAAAACCCTAGAAACTCTAGAATGAAGATGACGGAAAGGAGAGGAACATAAATTTCATTCCTAAGCTCGTAGGTAAAGATATGAATGAAAATAATGAGCCAAGGGGCCCTATTTATAGTTTAGGTAACATGCAGACCAAGCAAGATTTGAATTGAATAAATAATAGATTTAATCTCAATCAAATTATTTCCTTATCTGCAATCAGGATGCTTCTAGAAACCCTAAGAACCCCTCCAAAACTGTCCATACCACGGAGGGTTCTAGAATTGTTTCTTTTGTTTAACTATTGAATAATTACAATTCACTCATTGCACCTTTAACTAATTCCAATTAATCCTGAATTAATTTCAGATTAATTCTGATTAATAACTAATTAATTCTAATTGATTTCTTATTAATTTATTAACCATATAAATTAACAAATCAATTATTTAACTATTGATATCATGTTAATTTATTAATCACATAACACATTAACATATTGATTATCTATTCTCAATTAATATATTAATCATATAATATATTAACAATAATTTCTCTCTCTCCTAATATCATTTCTACATATTTCTGGTTATGAGGGCAACCCAGAAATGACTTTTCTTCTATTTGCAAGTTTATACCAATTTAGTTATGAGCTTAGACACCTTAATCCAACAACATCATTAACTAAAGATTCAAGCTCCTCAATTGCCTTGAACATTATTTCCCTACGTTGGTTTCATTTTCATATATGAAGTTGGCATCTTTACTTTCATCCTCTTTTTTTTTTCCAGAAATACTTTTTGTGGCTGTAATAGCATTGAGTTTCAGATAAAGATCTCATATGTATTGGGATTTTTAGGTTACAATTACATTTTACATGCGGAATTTCACTTAACTCTTAAGGGTACACGCAAACTAAATTGGATCTATGTATTTCCCCTATTAATAGCAACGTGCTTATGAAACAAAAACTATCCTATGAAATCAAATTCATGAGATGAACCACATACCTTTTGCTTGATTAGAAACAAGCTAATCAAAAACCCTTTGTAGTTAGGACCTTAGACACCTTAATCCAACAGTCTCCTATTTGGATAAGTCGATAACCACAATTACAAGTATAACTCCGAATAACCTATAAAGAGTGTTTTCCAAAGACATTGCCAGACTCTTATTATACGTTGGTCCTAAGATAAATGATCAACTATCCCTTCGTTCTTCTTGATATCACATGGACCCAAGACATAGATTAGAATCAATCTCATTGTCCAAGATTTTATTTCTCGATTTCCCGATTTGTGATGACGTCACCAGACTATTAATTGAACACGTAAATTTAGTCTCGGCTGGGTCTAGCACTACAATGTCAATATCAAATCATTGATGAACCCAAATATATCGCTTTTCCTGTTAAGGCAAAAGGAACAAATAAACTTTGACTATATAATCATATAGTTTATTAACCAAATCATACATGGAATTACACTTTAAAATACCTAGTTACGAGATGTGATGGAGTAAACCAATGCACAATTGATTTGCAAACTATGACTTATATATCTCTTTTTTTAAGAATAAAATATATTATCGTCTTAGAATTACTTGTGATTAAAATCCATGAAGTAATCTCTAAGTGCGGTTTTAACCAATACTAAAAATCCTAATTTTCTAAGTACTCATGAATATTATAGCAATCCCTATGCAATGTCCAATCCTTTTGGACAATCTACAAATGATTCATGATAATGGCATTTCGAATAAATTAATATTTTGGAATTAAAACATGCAAAGTGAAACACAAGAATAAATTAATTGACTAATGGTATCTCACATTTTGAACATAAATAAATCTCTATTCAATTAATTACCATTCAGTTACAATTCACTATTGTCACATTGTTTCAAAACTATCAACTAACTAACAAAATCTAAAATCTAAGATCACTACAAGAAAAAACTGGTATTGCAACGGAATGAATCCGTTGTAAGAAGTTGCAATTCTGTTGCAAAAGACGAATAATGATGGAATTTGCAACGACCCATTTCCGTCCCAAAAAAAACCCGTAGCAAGGGTTTGCGAAGGAAACAATAATTTCGTCGCAAATATAACAACGAAATGAAATACATTGTAGAGGGTATTCCGTCGTGTATTCCGTGGCCGTATTCCATGGCGAATTCCATAGTAAATCTTCCATCACAAATTCCGTTGTAGTGGATCCCTAGCAAATTCCATGGTGATGAATCTGTAGCAAAATCCATTGCTCCAGTTCCTCGAAAATCCAGCAAGTACATATCTACTGATTTCCTGAGAATACAAGCAGTTTGAAAGAGTATCAGCATAAAGCTGGTGAGTTCATAAGCGGTGATTTGTAGTGAAAATCGTTGATGAGTTCGTAAAATATTTGTATAATTCCAAGAAAATCCGATATTTTCTTTAGTGAGAAAGTAGTGATTTCAATTCTGTATAAAACCATGAATGTTTGTCACTGAAAACTGTAGTGATATGCGAAAGTATTACTTCATGTGACTAGCTAATTCTAATCATGATGTAATAGCATTTCGTGCGTGAAACCATTGTATGCTCGTTTCTGTTTGAAAAGCCTGAAAGTTCTCCAGTTGTAGTGTGTATTAGTTCTATTTAATGTACATAAAACTGTTGAAGAGTGTTAAGTTGTAAACTAAAGGTGATTTATACATATAGTGAGTCGTATAACCATGCTTGATATGACTTGAGACCTTTCCAACGTTCTTCAGGCGTCGAGTTAAATGACATTTGTACATCTCAGGCGTGCCCGCCTAACTGTAGCTAGCAGTCCAGATGTGAGATTGTCAGTCCCGAATAGATCTATTCACAAATCTCATGCTCTCCTTCCAGGAGACTCTGGTTATACTATGGTAGGATTTATCCCTGTGCACCTAAGGGTACAGTAGTGAAGTAGCGCCTCACAGTATCGTACAATCTAGTTTACATGTAGTGTAGTAGCGTTCTACCGTAGTGAAAATTCGTATGTATACCGTATATAGTGATAATTACAGTTATGAATACCATGATAAAGTAGTGATGTAAACTGTAAACGGTTTCTGTCTTAGTGCATATGCTTAGTAGTGAAAGTTTCTATACTTGATATGTTTTAGAAAAATCCCAAACTATACCGATTATAGTTTGCATGTAAAACGTAGCGAATAGCGTGTCTGGAAAAACTATGCAATTTTATTGAAAACGTCCCTTATGCTCAGCATAGTACAAAAGGGATTTAAAGTATGAGATTTGCATAAGTTTTATGTATATTCTTGAAAACAATTATGTTTAGCTTGTATTCCCCCCTGAAAACATTAAAAATACAGAAAATGTAGGGGTATGAACTCACCGTTGTTGTGTGAAAGCGTTGACTGAAATGAAGATCCTCGAGTTGTTGTACGTGACACTTAACGAAATCCGGGACTTGATCGAATCGATGAAAGTGGGTTTTCAGCCAAAATCACCACTTAAAAGGTGTTTATGGCCGTGAACAAGGGTTTACGGTCGACTGGTAGTTTACGGTTTCTGAAGGCTTGATGAGTTTACGGCCGTAAACTCAAGAACAGAGTTTACGGTCTTTGAAGGCTTG